TATTATGGGTAAGGCTGTTACATGTGACATCTTCCATGGCGTTGTTGTCTGTAGTATTGTGGGTAAGGTTGTTACATGTGACATCTTCCATGGTGTTGTTGTTTGTAGTATTATGGGTAAAGCTGTTACATGTGACATCTTCCATGGTGTTGTTGTCTGTAATATTGTGGGTAAGGTTGTTACATGTGACATTTTCCATGGTGTTGCTGTCTGTAGCATTGTAGGTAAGGTTCAGTTACATGTGGCATCTTCTATAGTCCTGTCTGTCTGTAGCATTGTGAATAATGTTGTCATAGGGAAATCAGACGCAAAAGACTGCAGTCAATCAGATAAATTGTTCAATACCTTAAGATATTGACGATTGACGCCAGTTTATTGGACGATTTCCATGTCGCAAATATTGTCTGGATTGCTAGTAGCAATAAACGTAATGGTAATTAGATGAATTCATTATTTTAATTATAATGTTGCTAAACAATTGGTTATTATTAATAGAAAATGTCAACTAATTCAACAATTTTAACTAAGATGTAAGGTGTATATAGCTTAATTAGTTACAAAATTCTCCAACTGCCTCTAGGGAGATTACAAGATATCAATTCTCCATAACAAAATGTTGATAACAGCTGAACAACGTTAGTTGCATTCATTGTTCTACTATTTCATAAAAGAAATATCAAACAGTTTTCCTTGTTACATGTTCTGATCAAAACATCTTGGAATGCTAAGAGAACGAACACTTGAGAAGCTGGAAACCACTTCGACTCGGGTCGTTGTTTAATCATACGCTTCTCTTGTTAGTGTTCAGCCCTCAGCATTCCGTGTGTTTTGATCAGATTATCAAACACGGAATTTTTTTATTATAATTCTTCATTAATAAGTTAATGCCATTACTGTTATGTACTGTTTTTAGTGCTATTGATTGCGGCCGGTTCCAAACAACTCCCTATTGGTTCTGGAAACATTGCAGGCTCGAGTTGTGTGTTAGTACTCGATGTGTAAATTTTGCAATTTAAATAATTATTGTATGAAGTATTATTGTATGAAGTATTATTGTATGAAGTATTATTGTATGAAGTATTATTGTATGAAGTATTATTGTATGAAGTATTATTGTATGAAGTTTTTGTAACATTTGAAAGTATCAATACTTCCGCGGTAAATCTTATCAACCTGTGTCAGGCAAATTTGAATGTTGCAGATTTAACAAAAACTAAAACCGAATAAAATGACACTAGCTCAAGATTCGAATAGACCTCATTCAAGATACAGTTGAATGCTCAAGCAATCTAAATTTACTAATGCCAGCAGTAGCTTGCTTATTAGTCATTCCGAGGTCGATGAAAAGACTGGGTCGAGGGAACGAAACATACGTCGTCTTGGAAATATGTCCCTAAAACAGTCCCACAATGCAATGCCAAATCGACCCAGTCTTTTCCTCAAACTCGGAATGGCTGATTGGACTATAAATTGAACAATGAGAGACTCAAAAGTGCTAATAAATCAGACGTAAATTCTATTGTATCGTTAGCAATCCTACCTTGTTTCATTGCCAAATCGTCCAACGTCATGGTAAACGGTGTAAGATAATCACACGGTACACGATACTATGCATTTAAACCAAGACATTGGATAGAACATGTGCATTCAACTGTATCTTGAGAAGAGCCTATTTTCAGATGTGTATTTTCATCGAACTGCTATCTGCCATTTGTCGCCGGTGCCGTAGACGCCGTCAATACTATCATCACACGAACAATAAAATTTTTTGTTGGTTTTGTAGCAGCCATACATGTGTTGATTACTGCCTTCGATGGTGAAAGGCCTTGTGGCTAAGCGTGCAACACGTTTTGACACCAAGGAAGCCCACTTATTCACTTCGTAACTCTTTTTACCATCCCAACCCCACCTCTGGCAGTTCTGAGCCAAAATTGACGTATCCTCTGGCAGTCTATCGAAGGAGCCACATGCAGCTGGGAAAGTGCTGTTTGCGTATGTATCGTCTGTAAAGTAACGCACTACATCTTGTCCAGCGGTGTTGTTCTTGGTCATGATACTCATTACTCGACCCACGGATTTCTTGTGACAATAGAAATAAATCTGGTGGAATCCCATCTTCTGCAGGATGTCCAACATGGCAGCTCCTCTTGGGACTATATTCTTGTCATTCCAACGAAAACCTTTCATGACGTCATAGGTTCCGTATACCACATTTGGTAATGGAGAGGAACTTTGTAATGTTAGCTTCTTTACGATCGTCCATCCACCTAACAATTATTGAATTAAAAATTAGCTTTGATACGACGCTTTACATACGTGCAAATTCCATTCCGAAAATTGCAACACATTCTTTCTTAACCGAATTGTATTATTGGGCATGACCAAAAGACGTGGCCGCCATCTTGTTTGATATAAGAAGATTGACTAAATTTGTTTCTAGCCAAGCCCATTCGTTTGCTTTGAGTTTGGCCAAACATGGAAACTATGGTATTTTTGCACTCATATTCCCCTACATTTGATGTTAATGAGCCAAAATGAAATCGGTATGGTGGGTCCATAAGAAGGCAGTTAACATAACGTATTCTGAGTTCGATGATTTGAATGTGGTCTAGCTTCGTACCATGTAAGGCAAGAAGGAAAAAAATGTTCAGTGTGCCTAAGGAGACCACAATGCACCAAGTTCTCTATTGCCCGACCAACTTTTCATTTAGTCTAAACAGGAGAGCATAAATAAGAGAGGGAAACTTCTTAATAACGCGCGAGCCATGTAAATTCCTGGTTGGGCTATTTTTAGTAACCGGATGCAGTTTAAATTTCGTCTTACCCTACTCCCGTGCGTCATCTATTTGCCTGCGCGCGCTCTTTCCGTTTCGTTTTTAGCGATCAAAACGAAGATCGCGCGTGCGCAAGTTAATGACGCACGGGAGTAGGGTAAGTCGAAATTTAAACTGCATCTGGTTACTAGTCTCTTGCTCTAAATAAACATTAGCTGACAAATTTCATTTAATAGCCGCCAATGTCTAATGTTAAATCAATATAAATGAAAAATTCAAAAAGCTTATATAAATACGGGACAATGAATACTAAACTATTCACCTCCATCTGTTGCCATGTCGCAAAACACTTCAATCGGGTTTCCTAGGTTTGAAGGGTCTATCCAGTATACACCTGTGCCAACTGAATCACCGCTGACCAGTATGTCCAAGCATGACTTTGCGGGGAAAGTTCTAGTTCCTTTGACTGGTTCTAAAATATAGAGCATGATGTGCATTAATCCGCGTTAAGCTAGGTAAAGTCGTGTACGTTTAACTTTTACACAGAAAAGCAGTAATGAATCCAGAAAGATTTTAGAAAGAATCCAGAAGGCGGGTTGCTTTTACCTAAATTGATCCAGTCCTATCCAGTAAATACATAACTTTTCTCTTTAGATTCTACACGACGCAATTTCATTCCCTTCGTTAAAGTTCTAATGAATGGGTTAGTGCTTCAGTTTCTGGCTACCCAAGCCATCCACTCTCTAGATCCGCCTAGCTTTGAAAAGGTAGAAGGCTTGCTTCGTGGTGTTAAAACATAGCAATCGCGCGCGGCCGCCATTTTGAATTAAGTAATAATGCAGAGATCCCCTCCCCTCCCCCGATAGAAGTGGCCAATACTGGAGCCCTTATGAAAAACATCTAGCTCCTCAGAGTCACACAGCTTAGTACTCAAATACGGGCCCTATTTCTTAAAGTGCGCCATTCGAATTCATGATTATTCATGCACAGCAATGAGAAATCGTACATGATTCTTACTGCAAAATCTAAAATCTTGATGCGTGCTGTAAACCCTACAGTATCAGAATCTAAAAACATTTCTTATTCAATTGCTATTTCGTGGTTTCTAAGGCTCGAATGTCAAAAGTCGAATTTCACAAGAGCAAAACCTAATAACATCAATAGGACCGCCTTGTTGTCCATTGTTTCAATAGGCCTTTTGCAATAGATTGACACGTGATTGTTACTGGATGGCAAAAAAAATTGTACTTCCTTTGTTTAAAGATTTTTTGCTGGATCATTAATGTCGCATCCAAAACCTTTTCAAAAATACTTTTTTTCCCTTATGAGATACTTTTGATTTCAAGATACAAAGCAGTTTAAAGTTTGTTTGCCATCCAGCAGAGCCTTCCCCAAGGGACCTTTGGCTGAATTGATTCGTTAGTAAAGTCATATATCAGCACGTGACTGTTTGTTGCAAAAGGCCTATTAGGTTCGGCTCATGTTAAGTTCGACTTTTGGGATGAACCTGATCAGCTAATTTTTTTATCTATTCATTTGTTTGTTTGTTTGTTTGTTTGTTCGTTCGTTTATAACCCAGAATCAGGCATTGAGGTATAGCGAGAGTACCAAAGTTGTATGTGCGAGCACACGCGTTTTGGTGCGAAAATTCCCGCCAAATCCACAGGTAGCCCAACAAAATAGCGGGAAAAGGGAAACTTTTATACAATTTTTAGTCAAACTTTAAATCATAGGGCTAGATGGCCCCTACAATCAGGCTCACCTGGGATTCTAAATGCTGTATTGGTCAAATAGATGCTGTTTGGTATTTTCTTATAAATCTTTGGTAATGACTCGTTAGTCTGTGAGTTCAAGTCACATTTTTTTGTCACCAGATGAAAGTTCAGACTCATACAACGTTCATCTTTGTCGCACTCCTTCAAGCATGTAGGGTAGTCTTTAGTGGTCCATAATTTGTACTCTTTACCAACCAAAGCGTAGCCAGCCTGTGAGCTGAATATTATTGGCAGGCACTGTTGCTGAAGACTTATGCTTACTTCCATCACGATGACGGTGATCGAGAAGAAAAAATCCCGAAATCTAAAAGAAAAGAGATATAGCTTCAGAAAATTAGATAATTGCTAATTAAGCAAAGCACTGACAACAGTTAACGTATGAGAAGACACAAAACCATGTTTTCTTTTTGCTGACAGCTTTCGATGTTTGCTTGTATACGTTCTAAAACCGCAAAGAGGTCGAACTTCGACGCAATCTCACGGCCAAACAAAGTCCGTCGGTGACCCCCACTTTTTTATTTGTTCGTTTTAACTTCTAGTCTGGTGTACTTTCATCATATGAAACATTTAGAAAGAAACAAAGTCTGACAATGGAATAAAAACATATTGTCGAAGCAAAGTAAAAACTTTTATAATTATAAAACAACAAGCTAAGGAATGTTCTACTGAAAAATACGACAAGTTAAGCAAGAGTTTCTGTTGAAATGTCTATATCAATTTTTGAAGCATTTGCAATCACACAAGATGAGCAAAAGTTGGATTCAAAAGAGAAAATTTCGAAGGCAATGTTTTTGAAGTAATTTGTATTAACAAAACTAAAACTACACACGTTTAAACAAGTCATCGTTGAAGTCCTACCAAAAGATGAGAAAGAGTTGGATTCAAAGCCAAAGTTCGAGGGGAATGCTTTTGAAGCAAAACCGTGCGCAGACTTTAAATCAACCTTTAAAAGCTACGTCACAAGCAAGTGTAATCTAAAAGCCAGACCGTGTATATACGAAACAAGTCATCGTTGAAGTTCGATCACAAGTCTCGTTGATATCTGAAGTATCTGTATGTTCTTCTTGATTGATGAAAAACATCGAGAAATCTAGTGTCAACCCGAATACGAAAAACTACACAATTTGGTACTAAGGTGAATAGATTTAAACAGAGTAATTTTTATCTAAGCCCTTTCTATATCGAATCAGAATTTGAACTGTTGATTTTTGCAAAGGGCCGAGGAAAACCTGAAAGTGAGAACTCAGAGAAAAACCCTCGAAGCACAGGGTCGCTTTGTGAGTAGCTAGCGCTCTCACCGCTACGCCAATCATGCTTCGATCCCAATACGTATACAGATTAACTCAGTAGAATTTTTTAGTCTTGAAGTGGGGCGATAAATTTTGAATAGTAAAGCAGCTGCCTGAGACAATTAAACTTAGCTTTCTACACTAAAAGACCGATACATTTCATAGAAATTCACTTGAAAACGTATGACCTGATGTCTTTTTTTAATTTGCCGAAGTTAATCTTTCAAGGTTACTTACGTTTATGTCTTTGACTTTGATCTCCATGTTGTCTCTTCCCAAGAGCCTGCAGCAGACCTTCAGTAGTGCAATCTTGTCATATACGTATACCTTATGATAGTTTTCGTAATTCCTTTTATCCCATCCCGCAGGTTTACCATGGTAATGTAATTAGCTAGCATGCACGTCCGAATAGAATACTTATCAGACCTTATTACAGGCCAGTTGCGCGGCGTAGCTAGATCTCAACCATAAGGGGGCAACAGGACGGCAACAGGGGGCTTCTTACGATAATATCAAATAGTTATGTTCTAGTTTGAGTTCCGTTATCAGGATGAGGAGAAAATGTAAAAGCAGAGATAGCCCACCTCCCCCCATAACCACTGCAATGGCACCGAGAGCCGATGCAAAATTTTAATTTCTAGGCATTTCCAAATAAAAACTATCAAAGAAATAAGGAATTACACTTAAAATTTATTTTTTCAAATTTTATTTTCTTAGAAATGGCAATCAAAAAAACCTTTGTCATATTTTGCGCTGCGTAGTCCTCCCGGAAGTCTTAAATTTCAAGTTTACACAGTCTTTTGCTTGTAAGAGCGGCAACGTAAGCGTTTTTTAAATTAAAATATTGTAATGACAAGAGTCTTATGTCAATTTATTCTATACACTTGTACCAATTGTTTGAAGGTAGTTCCCATATTGAGTTTGTAGTTTGTTTATGTTTGAATAAACTTTCTCATATGTTGCCCAGTGGCAGGTGTGTGGATCGTTTAGTTCTTTCATAAACTATTTGATCATGAAAACGCTTAATAAATGAAATAAAATAAAATAAATCTTATTTTCAATCGATTGGATCAAGGGTTAATTTACAGTGCATTCTTTTTAGTGACAAAAACCTCAGTGTTGACGGTTGGAGTGACGTTCCCTCACTGCAATATTTAATCGTTTTTGTTTTGCTGAACAAATTAGGGGGAGGGACAACAAGTATGAAATGTAGGCAGGGAGATGATTGATAATAACGCCAGTTCCCCTCCACTCAATCAAGGGTCAAAGATGTTTCACAGAGATCTTGGCATTTTTTTAATTATTATTATTAAACAGACAAAAAACACTATATATAGTTTGTTTCGCATTCTTTTTTCAGACATGACAGACACCATATTATTCGTCTATGATCCAAAGTTAAACACAGTCACAGAAAACCTTTCCGTTTTTCTTGGGTTATTTTTCGCATTTCTTTGACCGAGTAAGGACTAGGGCGAAATCATTAAATCCCAGAGTGTGGGGTTACTAAGGAATGGCAGCTCCCTAGTCCCTCCTCTGAGGATATTATACTAGCTGCTAATCTTCAATTGTTTTTTTTTTTTAATTAAAAACAAGTTGGAGGTTTAAATAGACGACTTGCACTAACAAGTCACGTGACCCCACCTTCCTTAAAATAAACAGTTGTGAATAGTTTTAGCTCATATTAAGCGAAAAAGGAGAAATGACATTAAAAGTAGATTTCATCGTTTTACAAGGATGTGTATGGGGAAATGCGCTGGATGGCAAGAGGTTGCCAGCCAACACTTTTGCCATACAAATCGGCTTGAAGATGTTTGATTTTATATTCAATGCCATTTATCCTATAATCAACATTATGAGCTAAAACTTCACCCTCTTACTAATGTTGAACTGCACTTTTCATTTCTGTTTGTTTTCTCACGAAGGCTCGTTTTAAAAAAACTTGTCATCGCTAATCACCACCGTAAGTACAGCAGCGGCGCAGCTCAAACGGGTTAGAACTGAAAGCATGTGAAGTTGCCTTTGGCAGCCGCTATACAGTCCATGTATATGACCCCGGGGCACAGCTCTAACCAGTTTGAATTAGTTAGGATGATTGATTTGAGAGGATCGAGGGAGGAAAAACCGGACTCACCTTTTAAGGGAGGTAGGGTCACATGACCTATAAGTGCAAGTCGTTTATTGTTGCATGTTGCATCTTTCATGTTGCTTACCAAGGTTGGAGTGTATTGTAGATAAATCATTTGTTAATAATGTTAGCACTGAAGAAATTGACCTAAAAAAAACCTAAAAAACGTTCAATCCAAGTATTGGAAAATACTCCATTTTACAGTTCCATTCAGTGACCACGAATAATAGTTCCTAGCCGAGACTGGAGTTACCGCGCATAGCAAAACTACACTTTATCATGCGCGGTAACTCCAGCCTCGGCTAGGAACTATTCGTGGTCACTGAATGGAACTGTAATATGGAGTATTCCATATCCTTGCGACTTTTTACGTCGTCCATATTGCATTTCGAGCTTAGTAAGCAACATGCAACGAAGCCTTCACCAACCTTTTTTGAAATAGCTGTAGAGCCTTTTGGCCTGGACATAATGTTTTTCCACTTCCCTGGAGTATTATTACTTTGTTTGGCGGTTGTAATGAGAATATATATCTTATACTCAATTGAAGAGAATGATACGTAATATGAAATGGGTAAACATTACGCTCGAGCTAAGAGAGTCCATTAACCGAACTGTGAACAGCAAAATAGACCCTTAACTTATTACCACTACCATTGGGAATCTGAGTATTACCATTGGGAATCTGAGCATTGGGAATCTGAGTATTGTAGAAGTAAAACAATGAGATCAAAGTAACTATTAGTCTCCCTTAAAAGTGGACCGTAGGAGAATGGAAAGAGACTAAAATGGCTGCAAAGGAAGGGAAACTATGGCCCAATTTTTCTTCTTTACTATTAAGACATTGACATTTTCATATAACAACTTGTTAAGTGAATTCTTGTTGGAAGCAAAATGCCAAGAGTTCCCCATTTCTCATCATGCTTTGTACCTATGCACATTAGCTATTGGGTTACTATATTCAAGAGGCAAAAAACTGGAAAAGGAAATTCCTACAGCATTATGGTAGTTATACTAAAATCACACTATCAAGAAACAGCTATAGTAATCAAGTCAATCACTTTAGGAGCACGATACTGATTAAATCAAAAATTAATCTCCGAAGTTCACCTTTTTATTCAATATATGACTAGCAGAATATAACAACTCGCCAGTAAAGGCATCTTACAGTACATGACTCAAGTTCTTTCTTTTAAAATTCTAAACCAGTAAAAAGTTATATTCCAGAAGTTTATGCTATAGGAATGATAAAATATTTTGATAATCCTAGAACTTGCACCAAGTATTTCCAATTGACTCCAATTTTACTCAATTTTCTCAATTTGGAACTGTTTTCATGTTTCTTCAAGTTTCACTCTCATCTTATCTTTATGGCTCCTCTAAATCAAAAATGTTTTAACTGATGTAATCTAATACAACGCTTTAATAACCCTTGACTGGAGCAGCCTATCTGTGTGCAGAAACATTCATACTTTAGTTGTTCTAGTGGACACAATAATTCCGTAAAGAATCACTAATTGGAAAGATGCCAAATAGTGGTGTTTACTGTACTCTGGCTTTTGATATTCTGCAAACTCAGACATTTCAATGACTTGTAAAATGTGTAGTTCCACAAATCATCCATACCCACCCCACAGAGGAATTTGGAATTCCTGAAGAGTAGGAGGGTCAGAGAAAGAACAACAATTACAGAGTTTGTATGGAAGAAAATTGGAATTTCCGGGGGGAGGGGGGCGTCTTAAAGAAATTCCTCCGTGAGGGGGGTATGGATAATTTTTGGAACTACACAATATCCTTTTACTGCTGCCAGTCATGATATGAAAAGTACCAATTACTTTTGATTGACAGCATCCCAAAACCAAATTTCAGCATGGTCCTAAGAACTACCGAGTTGGAAGTGTCAAAAACTGCAGTAAACAATAGAAAACAAGGGATTTTCACTTTCTTAGTACCCATTAGTTTTAGTAGTTTTCATGGATTTATGTGTGCACTATAACTAGGAGTTAATATGTACAAAACCTTAACTTTTCACGAGAAGGATTTTCTGAAAATTTAGAGGACCAATGTGTATTTGTATATATAATGACTGTACATTAAGTTTGTGTTAACCAGCCATGGCTTTATAATAATTATAAAATTAAAGAAATTTTCTGCATTTGAAGAAATAAACATATTAAACAATGACACCTATGGCAACAAATGGCTGTGGTTGATAAGGCGGTGGCAAATCACCTGCACGTATGCTTTCAGTCTCATCCAACACAGCACTATATGGAGGAGGAGGCACATTGCCCTCAAAGAAACCAGATACAGTCTGTCGAGCTTCATGTATAACATACATATGTCTATGGCGATTACGTCGTCCATTACGGCGCAAGCTTCTACGAGTTCTTTGAGATGTCCGGCAAGGACTTATTTGTAATCTAATAGGAGGTCTTTCAACCGTAGAATGTCTTTGACGACGTAGTAAAGAGGTGTGCCGCACAACACTAAATACCACAAGTATGATAAGGAATAAACATGTACAAACAGTTGCCACAACAACAAATGTAACAGGCAGGAAGTTGGTGGATGTTTCTATTTCTTCAATTTTTGCTTCAGTTGTAGAGTTTATAGGATGTTTTGTCTTTGTTGGCTCTGATGAAAAAAGAAATTACATATTAGAGGATTCTTTTTGAGGCTATTGTTTTCTGCTGCTTTTTGATTGGCTCCACTGCCCAAAGTTGGAATGTAAAGTTTTCATTCTACAATTTGATTGGTTCTTGCTGTCTAAGTGGGTCTGGTTATTGTAGTTGCACTGTAAAAGGGTTAGATCATCAATTTTTGTTTTCTGATTACAAATACACACACTTGCTAATTGTATCACAGGGGGCTCAATTTAAATAGAAATGAAAGGTAAAAATAAAAAAAATGGAAAAATTGATTAATTAAGTATATTTCTAATTTGAGGTCAAGATATTGTTCTCCATATTACAAGAGAGTAAAAAAATAAATGAAAAAATGCACTAGAATATGTTTTTCACATGTGTCTTTGTTTTCCTATATAATTTCTCTACGGTATCCCGTGACGTTGATATGTTAAGTCAAAGCAGCCATCTTTGTAACACAATACTTTCAACCAAGATTTCGCTGTCTTTTAAACTGTATGATTATTAACGGTGGCTAAAAATGGTAAGCAAACGACCCTAACTTCTTGATTATAGATAATGATTATTTCATGATGATCTTTTGGTTATCCATATGAAGAGTTTTACGCTTTTATACAAAACAAAACAACTAATTTAGTCTCTAACCCCTAAATACTTGATATAATGAATTTATAAACTAATTACTGATTACAATAATCCAGTTAAGTAAGAGGTTAGAGATAACCTGCACATCATCAAAGCTTGTATGGCAAGATAAGATGTAACGAATAAATTAATTGCCAATTATCTGTCACATTCAAGTGCCTTAAACCCTTGATTCTGGAGAAGGTATCAAGTTCCTGGATACCAATATTATATTTGATATATTATTTCAGGATTATTTGACGGAAAACTCTCAAATAAAATAAACAGTTGTGCAGAATGTTTGCATGGTCTCTTCCTTGAATCCATCAATTTTTCTCCAGGTTCTTTGGTTTCCTCCCTCCGCAAAATCTAGCAAGCTTAATTCCAATTCCATCTGTGAGTTATCTGTGCCTGATGTAGATCCACCCAGAGGTTGATTCTGGGTTTGATCTTTGATTTAGCTGTGCGCTGACTTAGATCAGTCCAGAGGTTATTTCAGGGTTTGATCTGATTTAGCCATGCCCTGATTTAGATCAGCCCAGAGGCTTTTTCAGAGCACTGATAAAATTTAAAAAATAATTGATAAAATTGATATAAATATTTGACAGGTTTGAAGGACAGCTTCTAGTTTCAGTTCATGTTTATTTTTGGCCTAAAGCCTTTCTCAAAGATAGCTGATCAAAGCTAGATAAAAACTTTTTGAAAAATGTTTCAAACTCTCCTACATATATTCCGAAAATACAGAGTCATCCACAACTTTTCTTGCATTTAAAAGCTCATTTTACTCATTCAGGGCTTAAAACAACGCAGGTCACTTAACAGCATAAATGTCTCGCCAGAATAACTTGGAACTTGTCCAGTCAAATCCTCGCTTTGCCATTTACTTTTACTTTGTCAGAGCAATTCTCTTAACTCTGCCCCTTAATGAAAAACCTAGTCTCCTTTGCAGCCTTTCTTAGTGTTGGTCTAAAAAACCCTCCCCATTAGTGTAAAAACCTGATTGAAGCTTGGTTTCATTCATTGATTCATTTAATGTATCATTTATTTCTTAATTGTTAATTTTCATGCACTTGCTTTTTACTTAAATATTTTTCTATATTTATTTATTTATTTTTCTCTAATAAATTTTTCTGTAGCATGCTCATGTTATGTCCGTTAAATAGGTTTGTTTACATAGGTAGATAAAGCAACATCATATATAGAGGATATTACATGGGCGCACGGAGATAGGAATTTTATCCTTGAGTGTTCAATTGATATCTCATGAGTGAGCGCAGCAGTGTTTATTATATAGATATCGATGAAACTTAAATAAAACAAAAGCTCAAAATTTCTTTATTAAAATATGTTACTATGTCAACAGCGATATCTTCACGTGTGAAAGATATGGTATCTTCCACTGGTGAAAGATATCAAGTTTTCGACACAAGAAAAAAACTGGTATTTCATTGTTTTCTATGTAATAATGCTTTATATTGATTGCACGCTCAGTAGTTTTCTTGTTTATATGAATGATTGTTTACAAATTACTTCAGCCCTGGTAATGAACTAGTAGTGTGAAAGCTGGGTAAGAATAAAAAGACATGGTGGAAACCAATTCCATATAGTAATCATATTAGCCACGTACAACAACATTCTACATACTGATTGAAGCTTTTGATGTAGAATTATTACATAATGGTAAGTTACTTACCTGACTTTTTATCCAAAATTTCCAAAATTTTAGAATAATTAACAAAGAAGCATCTTCTATGTTCATCCAAAATGCTTTTCGATAAAGCATAGGAAGGATGCTTCATGACATGACATTCCCAAAGACCTTCCAGACAATGATGTAATTCCTTTACTTCTTTACAAATATGAGTCACATTTCCATTGAATTGGACATAACATGATCTTGCTAACGATTCATTACACTTCTTTTTGCCTGAAAAAACAACATGAAATTTCATGAAAGAGCATGTTTGATGGTCCAATACACAAACGAATAATTAAGTGTAATTGATTGGATCATATCATTGGATATATGGATGC